TTCCGCAGGATCTCTACCATGACAAATTCCTGTGGGGGGTAGGCGTCGCAGAGCGCCCTAGCGCGCCGTAAAAGCGGCTTATACCTACATACACATTAATTTTTTACAGGGAAATTGAATCTGGCGTGGGAAAACCGCTGTTGTCCATTTTTCAGTCTTACGTTTTTGTAGGTTGATAATATTTTTCTGAGTGACAAGAAACCATGAAAGTAGAGTTAATAATACTCGATTTAGATTAGCTTGATCCCAAAAAGAGTATTTGCACCACTTTCGTGAATATGCCAACACTTCAAAGGTATTATCAACATAAAAAAACTGAAAGCTGGGAAAATGGACATTAGCGGTTTTCGCACGACACGATTCAATTGTTGGTTGAATCTGTTTGAAAATTTCACTCCATTTTATCAGCGGCACAAAGAAGTTTCAGTGTAATTTTCGGACAGCTTCGTTGAATGATTTCTCTGTAAAAAAATAACGTGACGACGGAAATTTTTAAACGTCGCATGGCGCTTGTGATACTTTGGCTAGGAGGTGACGACTTGCCATTACCGGCAGATTCCTGATGTCCTGACCGGGGGTGGATATACAGTGGCGATTAACGTAAGTTGACAACACTGTTTTGCCTCCATTTAAATGTACGTAAAATAATCGATTCCTGGTGAGGCAAGTTACGTCTTCTAAAATCGATATTCTCAATGGATTTAAATGGAGGGTTAAGAGAGTTGCCACCTTACGAGAATCGCCACTGGGGTGGAAAAGGGTTCAAAAACGCCGACTGTCTTTCGCGATTCGACGCAACGTGTCTGCGCCTCACGGCAGGAACTACAATTTCTGGCCCAGTTTAAAAACAACGTATGTTCCATTAGTTTCCCTTAAGACATATGCGATTTTACGGATGAGCCAGAAATGGTAGTTTCTAATTGCAAAATCTAGTCCATTTTTCTCACTTCGTCGTTCCGCGGACACAAGGTTGCAAAATCTGCCCGAAAAATTGTTCTTTTTCACACAATCAAATTTACAGCCCAAAATTCCGCTGATGTTTGCAATACTCCCTTAAAAATTTGTGAAATTTTAAAGAGGAAGTGTCTTGGTTAGTACCCGAGTAAAAATATACAATTAGAGCGGACGTTCAGCAACGTTGAAAGAGAGTCACGTTTTGATTTTTAAGATTTGATTTTTCACGAAAAATTGCAACCCTGACGATAGACACCCTGGGTGCCCATAGTGCCCACTTCCCAGACAAAACTCAAAAGCCGGCTAGAGGTCCAGTTACACGATCAAATTGAGCCATCGAATTGGGCCTCTCGTTGGTCGCATTCGAATGCGATCGAATTCGATGGCTCAATTTGATCGTGTAACTGGACCTAAACTCGACCTCGGCCCCTCGACGAAAAATCCGGGCGGGCTGTGCGGCGGCTCCGGGACCATTTTTCACGGAGCGGGCGAGCTATTCTTGGCCCGGTGGCTGGATGAGTAGACGCTTTCGGAGAGGAAGCGATAGCTGAAACAGAGAAATGGTTCCACCGCTCCGAACCCCGACCCGGCGGCGGCGAGAGAGTAGAGCCGGGGGCGCCCCCTCGCGGCTGCGGGTGGCCTGCGGGCCCGGCCGAGGGGGCGGAGGGGGCCCACCATCGGGTACCGAAAATAACCCACCTCGCGTGGA